CAATATATTTACTTTGAATGGGAGAAGTCCTGAAGGCTCCTAGACAAAGCATCAGGCCCTGATGATGGATAGTATCCAGATTTTGTAAATTACTTTTACATGCTTCACCATATACGATAGAGCCGTAATCAAGTTTGGAACCGTTTAGTGATCTATACAAGTGTAAGAGAGTTGTTTGATCCCCTCCCCACTTAGAGTTAGAAACTACTTTTAATAAATCGAGTGCCTTCAGACATTTAGTTTTAAGGTATTTTATATGCGGTATGAAAGTTAGATGGCTGTCGAAAATAAGTACCAAGAACTTGGCCTCCTTAACCACTTTGATAGGGGTGCCGTTTAAAAAGAGTTCTGGGTCCTTATGCGGCTTATATTTTCTGCAAAAATGTGTACAATTAGTTTTTGATATGGAAAACTTAAGTCCATTTTCAAGGGACCACTTTTGAACTTTATGGAGACAGATTTGTAACTGTCTCTCTATTGTCTGCATATTTTTACCTCGACAAGAAATATTAAAATCATCCACGAAAAAGGGAACATCAACTGAATCACTTAAAATCTCTGAAAGACTACATATTTTAATACTAAATAAATTGACAGACAAGATACTGCCTTGTTGGACGCCCTGATCCTGATGATAATGATCAGACAGGGTTGAACCCACGCGGACCTGAAATTGTCTGTCAGTTAAAAACTTGGATAAATTGAGGCAAACGGCCTCGCAATCCAAAGTCATGTAAATCTTTTAAAATACCGTGCTTCCATGTAGTGTCATATGCATGCTGTTTGTTAACAATGGCATTCTTCACGAATGACTCCAATCGAACTAAATGGTCAATGGTACTGCGATTTTTACGGAATCCACATTGAATATTTGTGATTAAGTTATTAGATTCCAAGTACCATGTTAATCTATTATTGACCATGTGTTCCATGGCTTTGCAAAAGCAACTAGTCAATGAAATTGGTCTATAATTTGATGGATCGGTATGATCCCGTCCAGGTTTGGGTATGGGAACGACGATGGCATCATGCCTAGAAGAAGGAAGTTTACCGGATGGCCAAATATCATCATATATTAACAGTAGAGTTTCTAAACATGATTCTGGTAAATGTTTCAGGAGTTGATAAGGTATGTTATCAGCTCCTGAAGCAGTATCATATGCTTGCCCAAGGGCAGTATGGAGCTCATGAACTGAAAAGACTTCATTATAATCTTTCCCATCAGTATGTCCGTCATAGAGCAACAGGCAACTTTATCGGGCCATCTGTAAGGTAAATATAGTGTCAGTCAATCTCACTATATTTTCCACTTTGTCAAGGGACCGCCTCCGTGGTCTAGTGGTAGAGCGTCCGCCCGGAGAGCGGAAGGTCCGGGGTTCAATCCCTGGCCGCGTCATACCAAAAGACGTTAAAACATGGTACTTGTTGTTACCCTGTCTGGCGCTCGGCATAAGGGGGTAAAACGTTTCATCTGAAACGATCTGGACTGGTCGGCTCGGAGTCAGTACACTGTGTCAGTGGGGTATTCATGTTAAACTGCGGCATGGTATCTCAGTGAGCTAGCACTATATATCGGCATCAGTCCGGACTAGTACAAGCAGCCACACACACACACGCACACACACACACGTGCATGCACGTCGATATATAAGTGCAATAATCTTGGTCGCGACGTTAAACCCAATTTCACCTCACCTCACCTGTGTCAAGGTCGGACAGAGATATTGTTAACATTTGTTTGTTCCCGTTCCGCGAACCTATGGTAATTCGACCAGGCTGTAAATGTTTGAGACACGTTTATAGTAATACGTTTGATGTGGATCATTGAGTTTAGGGTGCCTGTATACAGTTAACAAAAGTCACAAATGTGTGGCGCAAGGTGGACCTCGTTTTATCTGTTTTCACTAGATGACTATGACACCGGAACAACTTTTTTCATTCGTTTGTTTGCTTTTTAACGCCGCACTCAGGATTATTCCAGATATATGACAGACTTTTTTCATTCATGAATAATCACCAGACATGTTGCTACTGCGAGACAGAAGGGAAGGAATCTCGTGAAATCGAGCGACATTTATGAACAATCACAGCATGTTTAACACATGTCTATAAACGGTGTTTTGTATGGCCAAGATGAAACGTTTTTCATTTGATAACGAATAAACGACAAAACCATCACCTCCCATGGACAGACACTATCGTCTGCTAGAATGCTGGAATATTCGTGCAAATTGAAAGAAGTACCACATTTCGTTTAACAATCGTTTCAAAATTTGAAATGGAGTTATCTCTATTGTTTAGCCACTTGGAAAATTCAGTGCTACAATATGAAAACTCTGACGCTCTTCCAGAATGTGTCTTATGAGGAAATATTTAAGAAGGACTGCTTTAATTGTATACCAGGTGAAAATGTGTAAAATGAATATCAATTTAAGTGTTCGAACGTCGACAATTTCTTTCATCAGAAACAAAATCAATACAGCGGGTTGAAACCATATTGTCTTCGCAATTACCAATGAGATATATATATATATATATATATATATATATATATATACACACACACACACACATAGTGTTGTGTAAAGATATTGTTTGTTTGTGTGTTTGTCTGTTGTTTAACGCCGCACTCAGCAATGTTCCAGCTATATGACGGCGGTCTGTAAATAATCGAGTCTGGACCAGACAATTCAGTGATTGACATCATAAGCATCGATCCACGCAATTGGGACACGATGCCATGCATCAATCAAGTCAGCGAGGCTGACCACCAATTCCCGTTAGTCGCCTCTTACGACAAGCGTAGTCGCCGTTGACGGCAAGCATGGGTTGCTGAAGACCTATTCTACCCCGGAATCTTCACGGGTCGATAGTTTACTGTGTTTATCTCCGTCGAAGTATTTGAGTGAGTAAGTATGGTTTTACGCCTCTCTTAGCAACATTCCAGCAATATCGTGGCAAGGGACACTAACAAATGGGCTTCACACATTCAACCCATGTGGGGAAACGAACCCGGGTGGTCGGCATGAGAAATGAACGCTTTCACCACTAGGCTAGCTAACCCACCGCTCCCGAATGGCCCGAAGTATCTTTTTAATCCTTGTATATCTGTTTGGAGTACACAAAAAATATATTCACGGAGTGTCCGTAAAATCTTAGATACTTACAGGTTACAAAGAAAATCTGTGGATAAATAACCATTAAAAGATATTTCAGTGTCATGATGGCTAGAACTTTCTTGGAATTGTATATATCTAGTGGTTTCTCTTTAATATGGACATATTGACCAAAAGTCATGAACATTGTGTCTATACATACGGAATATAATATGTTTCTGTCGATGTAATAGGTTGGTTGGTTTGTTGTTTAACGCCGCACTCAGCGGCTATATGACGGCGGTCTGTAAATAATCAAGTCTGGACCAGACAATCCAGTGATTAATATCATGAGCATCGATCCAAGCAATTGGGATCGATGACATGCTTCAACCAATCCAGCGAGCCTGACCACCCGATCCCGTTAGTCGCCTTTTTGACATTACAAAATAATGTAACACTCGTGCTCACGTCTGAAACGACCCGTTACCTGGTAACCATATGTGTTGAGCGACTGATTCTTAGAGAAAATAACATAGTGGTAATCGAAACTAGTGCTGTATTACAGGAACCATTTCAAAGCTGTCTAAGATATATTGACCTCAGACACAATTCTTTATATGGTGTAGTGTCTTTGCTGTTTCATCTTCCTGAATTTGCTAACCTTGTTGTACTGGATATGTCCAATCAGAATTATTATGGTCATTGGCAGGATTAACAAGCCAAGGACTTATTAAAAGTACAAGATAGGGGAAAAATGACAATCTATTTGCCTCATTTATTGGAGAAACTTATATTAAGTGGGTCAGGAGAGCATAACAAACACTTGGAGGGAATTGACTTGTGTGTTAAGGGAGGTGAACACTTGACACACGTGGATCTTTCTTATTCTGCGTTGATAATGGATACATGCCGTATATCTTGATGTTACAGGGAATTTCTTTCAAAAAATCCCGTTGACATTTTTTCAATCATACCAAAACGTCACGATACTGTATATAAACAATGTTCACTTTGATACTGATTTCATGTCTAATATGAGTTCCCAAACACTGTTTAGTCCGCTCGAAAACGTCCGTTCTTTAGCCATATCCCACAACTCCTTATACAAAATGTATACACATATATTCGGGGATCTTAAGACCCTAAAATATGTGAACTTAAGTCATAATAAGTTTAGAGATGTCCCTATTGAATTGTCTGGAATGTCGAGCATCACTCATATTGATCTTTCACTTAATTCTAACAATGTTCTTAGCGCAAATACAAGAACAATGTTAGATGAAAGGGCAGTTGATTCCCCGCAGATTTCACTTGACCTTCGTGGAAACATCCTGTCCTGTGGATGTTGAGCCCTGGACTTTCTGACGTGGATAATTGACACAGATGTCCAGTTTCGACGCTTTGACTCGTACAGCTGCCTCAACACGGAGGGCCAGCTCATCAAACTTTCAAACATTACTGGTTCCTATGGGAGACACTGGAGATATTGCTACGCTAGATTTTGGCATGCCTTTTCGGTTTGTCTGATGTGTGTTCTGATTTCTGGTCTTGTTATTTGTCATTTGATTTTGAAAAACAGCATGTCTTAAGGGTTCGAAATTAACGCTCGCCCGTTAGCCCGTGGCTAGAGTATTTCCTACAGGGCTAAGAACATTCGCAGAATGCTAGCCCGGGTGGCTAACTAACCTTAAACTTTAAGTGTTTCATATTAAATGGCAAACCATCTCAGTTACATATTAAATCAAAATCAAGTCATTTTATTAGTGAAACCGCAGCGGCGTAATCCCGGAAGTTTGTAGTAAACACGCATTCGGAATCTACTCCAGCGAACTTCCATTTATAGCCTTACGAGTCTGAACGAATGATTATCGGCGAATGTTACCGATTTTGTTTAAATGATCGAAGAACTGCGCATGCTCATTACCGAAAGTACGACTTCCCGTTGTCTGCATTCGGATCTGCCATGCTGTCGTCATGTGGAGATTCATAGACAGTATAAAGCCACCCGTGGCGAAAAAAACCAAATCGTCCGACGAAATTAAGGACCAGCAACGAAATTATGAAAACACTACACGGAAACGTACTTTTCAAGACAGGTGGCTTAAACAGTTCCCATGGCTTACGGTCAAAACGTCGCGGATGATTTGTTCAACATGCTTGGAGGTTGAAAAAGATAAAGGGGACACATTGAAGGGAACATTTGTGACAGGATCATGCAATTTCAAAATTGAGTCGCTAAAACATCATCAACTTTCGCATTCACACAAAGACAATGTTATAAAACAGAAAGCTAAGAAATGTGTGTCGGGTACAAGCACCGCTGAACTGTCACTCCAAACGTTAAGCAAGTCAATTTTTGACAAAATGTGCAAACTTTTCAGGAATGCACATGGCTTAGCAAAACAAGGGAGACCCTACTCTGACTTTTCTTTTCTTTGTGATTTGGATGAAATGAAGGGGGTGAATATTGGGCAAACCTACAGGAACGACAAATCATGTCGGCAGTTTGTTTATTACATTGCTGAGGAGACAAGGTCATACATTAGAAAGGATGTTGAAAACGCGAGTTTCCTTTCTATAATTTCTGATGGTGCAACTGATACTGCACATATTGAAAGCGAGATCTTGTACACTCGATTTTGTCATCAAGGTGTTCTCCAAACCCATTTCACTTGTATCAAGAACATTGGGAAAGCAGATGCAGAAACAATATCTACAACCCTATCAGATGGTTTGACAGATGTTTTTGGTCTACAATGGAAGGACAAGCTTATTGGTAGGTCACAGTATTTTTTTAGTTTCAATTTTTTTAATAAAGAAATTGTACATTTACAAACCCTCAAGTTAAATGAAATAATAATGATGTAATAACAATTTGGTAGAAATATAGAATAGTCAAGGCTTGCTTGGTTACTAACCCCACTTTTGGTTTACGCATTTAAAACCCAGAAACATTGGCCTGGAGAAAATAATCATGCATGATCATGATGACGACTTTGGTCTTTCCAGGTATTGCAACTGATGGTGCCTCCGTGATGGTTGGAAAGAAGGCAGGTGTCGTGAAGAGGCTAAAGGACCAGACTAATCGAGCATTCATCCAAGGTATCCACTGTTCAGCCCACCAGCTTGAGTTGTCATTTAAAGATGCAACAAAGGACCTGTCGCTTTGGACCAAGGCTTCCAATCTCCTACTGGGTGTTTATCTCTTTTATCGCAACAGTCCCCTGAACAGGAGCAACCTATTGCAGGCTTTTGCCATGGAAGGTACTCCTCTTTCACTCTTATTTCCATTATTATTGAAATTTGCAACCATTTTATATTTTTATATTATTAAATGAATCGATTAATTGAACATGGCATTTTTATGATATGGCTTGCAATTCATTTGCAGATGTGGAAGTGCTCATTCCATCCCGTGTTGGTGGCACCAGATGGGTCAGCCATATCAAGAGAGCGTTACGAAACCTCATGACATCCTATGGACCAATAATTCAGCATCTCCAGCAAGTAAGATGTTTTAAAAGCTTTCCCTAAATTTTGTTGTCCTCCACACATTGCTTTGCTTCCAAGTCTAAGAATTAAAAATGAACACGCAGTAACTTGTTTTGTAATATTTAGGCTTTATTTTAATAGTTTTCTGTCAGTCTGCATTGTTCTGCTTTTCTTCATAATCTAGGTCTGAAAATTTAAACAATTTATCAAACATTTGCATAGGGGTTATCATGTTTGAATTTGATAATTGTAGATCCAAAACCCTTGCGACCCAGCACACAACAAGGAGTCTGCTAGGAAAGCAGTGAATTTCTTAAAACATCTACAGGACAAGTCCATGGTTGCTTTCCTGCTCTTCATGTGGGATGTGTCTGCTGCCTGTCTGCCGTCTCTGAGGCTTTTCAGAGAAAAGAGGCAACTTTGGGAGATGTGTATGTTGAAATCCAACTGGCTAAGAACACCCTGACAAACTTCTATGAGATGTTAGTTTCTTTCTGTTACTGTTAGTCAGTGACATTTGTGCTAATTAAATTTATCATAGGATGAAGTCTGTGGATTAATGTAGGTACACTATGTTGAAATTGAGCAACAGTTTCTGTATTATTATTTTTTCCAGGGATGGTCCAAAATTAAAACGTTTAACAGCAACTGATGACAATTCTGAGTCTGACAGTGTGGAGCTATATGAAGGGCATCATTTGAAAGGAAACCTAGTATCCTTCAAGGCTGGAAGAGTCAAAGTACTGGACAGACTGGTCAGCAGTATGACAGACAGATTTGAAATAGATGCTGGTGTTGCAGAGGCATGCTGCATCACAAATCTGAACCTATGGCCCCTAACTTTGCAAGCAGGTAAACTGAAATGTTAATAGTTAATATCTGTGAAATAGTTATTTGTCAAATTGAGGTATTTGCGTCAATTGTGTACTGTAACTAAGTGGTGCAACTGTATATTTAGTGTGATCAGAATTACTGTTGTTCATCTGAATACTAAGTAAACCCTTGATAATTTTCTGATATAAGTTTTTAGTTGTTTATGTTCATGTTGTTTCAACAGACTTTGGTGATGTTCATTTGGCCAGCTTAGTGAAAACATTTAAGCAAGGATTGGAGAAAGCTGGATTTGACCCATGGCAAGTAGAACCAGAATTGACAAGACTTAAGGATGCAGTGTATAGGTAAATTCAATTTCATTTAAATTTAATTTAATTTAAGATTATCTGACTGCCCATTGACCTTTTCATGTTATTTACATTATTTCATGAAAATAATATTCAAAACAATGTTTTTGTTCTTTGCACAGACTTTATCCAGAGCCATCAAAAGCTTCATGGAAGGACCTGAACAGTCAGCTGAAGGAACAAGGTTATGAAAATGTCCTTGGACTTGTTGATTTGATCTTCACCCTGCCTGCCAGCTCTGTTGGCAGAGCGGGGCTTCTCAGCAATGGGGCGGGTCAAGACAGTCTGGCGGAGCAATCTGAAAGACAGTCACCTGTCAGACCTCCTTATGGTCTTGATCGAAACCCCAGAGGTCATGTCATTTCATCCTACTCCATCTGTCCACCTATGGAATTCTAGATCTGTAAGGCCAAGGATACCTGATTTTATGGAATCAGGAACACTATCTTTCAAGTGTGCAAATCACCTTTGTCAAGAAAACCTTCTCAGACTTGAGGAGAGGGCTCCCAATCTGTTGTCTGCTGCTCTAGTCATTGCAAAGGATGTTGCTCAGTCTGATAACTCTCCATCTGACTGTGAAGAGTGTTGTTAAACTAATGAATTGAAAGAATTTGCGAGAAATACTCAGTGAATCAGTGTTGTTGTTATTTGATGTTTCAGTGGCAATAATTTTAGAAGTTGAATGTGGTTGTGATGAGAACAAAGATGTTTACTGTTCATCTTATTTTGTTTGTACGAGTTCAGTACCTGTCTCAAAAACCTCATGAACTCACAAGAAGTTGAACTTTATTAAACTTAATAGTTATGAAGACATTATTTTCAGACTTTGTTATCTGTTGTGTAGTCTGGGCTAACTGATCTTCTTCAGGGCTAGTAAAGTTCAGCTGCAGTTAGCCCTGTGGACTGGATCACTTTTTCAGTTAATTTCTAACCCAGGTCTTTAAAATACTGGATGTTGAGATTTATAGGGTTCGATTATTGTGTGCCACGCCGACAAGATTATCAGTATGACATATTTATTTACTATTCTCAACATGATTATTATCAGTGGGTATGCACCACCTTTCTACAGAAGATGGAGGTTGAGAGCGGCCTGCGACTGTGTATTCCAGACAGAGACTTCGAAGTGGGCGTTTGTGCAGCTGAGGAAATTATTAACTGTATTCACAACAGCTGGAAGACTGTCCTGTATGTGACCGAGACTTTCCTTCAGGACGAGTTGTGTTCTTTTACACTGTCATCTGGGATCTATGCATCCAACAATAACATGCCTAAGAGACTAATGCTTCTATATTCGGACGCCATCTTACGTCACCCGCTCCCTCCTCTACTCACTCAGCTACTGGGTGGAGATGGTGTGTTTGTTCTAGAGGGGTTTGTGGAAAAAACAATGCCTGGCTACGACTCTTTGAACATGTTTTGAGATGGATGTGAACTGGTGTTTGCCCACAGTGATGTCTGCAGAACGTTTAACTTTTCGACTAGTTAACCCCGTTTACGAAGTAAATCGGGGGTATATAGCTTTCCGTCTGTCCGTCCTTCCGTCCGAGCTTTTGTACGGCCCATAACTTTTTAACCATGCACACCAGCTTCACCAAACTTGCTACACACATTTACAACAATGAGTACTTGTGCCCTTTGCAAGTTTGAAGATTCTAAACTTTTTAATTTTTGCCGTTTCCATGGACACATTAAGAAACTTAAACTTTTAGGGTGGATGTTTTGTACGGCCTATATCTTTTTAACTATGCACCCTAGCTTCATCAAACTTTCTACACACATTAACCACAATGAGTACTTGTGCATTTTGCTAGTTTGAAGATTTTTATTTTTTTTATTTTTGCCGTTTCCATGGAAACATTAGAAACTTAGGGTGGGTGTATTGTACGGCCCATATCTTTTTAACCATGCACCCTAGCTTCACCAAACGTGCTACACCCATTTACCACAATGAGTACTTGTGCCTTTTGCTAGTTTGAAGATTCTGATTTTTTTAATTTTTGCCGTTTCCATGGACACATTAAGAAACATCAAGAATGTATGTTGTGCTAAGCATTGATTATCCCATACTAGATTGAAATATATTTGCAAAAACATGTGTTTACTATTGGTTGTTAACCGGGGATAACGGGGGAATGTTAGCTTTGCTCACTTGTTTGAAGCCTTCCTTTTTAAACTTTTTACTTGCCGGAGACACCGGTCCGTTTGGACTGTATCCGTCTTTATTGAGCTTAAAAGACTCAGTGGAATGAATATGACCTACGTACAATTTTCACATGTCAAGAGATTTGATTTCGCTTTTCAAGGTGTAATGATTAATCAAACACTTAATACACACGTCATGACCCGTTACCTTGTAACCATATGTGTTGAGCGACTGGTTCTTAGAAGAAAAAAAACATAGTGGTAATTGCAGGAACCTTTTCGAACATATTAAGACTGTCGTATAGGCCATTCTCGATATACTCATGAATATTTATTAAAAGGTGATCCTCCATTCTGCATCCCTTGTGATGAAAGAATCACGGTCAAGCATGTCTTTGACTGTATTGATTTTTCCATTGCAAGGGATAAGTATTTCAAAGTTTTATCCATCAAGGGTCATTTTTATCAGGTAAGTTCTCATTTAATTCTTTTTTAAAGGAAATTGGATTGATTAATACATTTTGATTGCTATATTTTGTAAATAAATAAAGTAACTTTTACAATTGGTAGTATTAACCAGTTACTGAGATTGTTAGTGGCTATATTATCGAAGGGGGTTAATGTAGTGTAAAGTTATTGTCCCCCCTGAGGGGGTATGTAAGTACCACGTCTTTCAGAGTATATTTATTTCTACCACTTTTTTAATTGTAGCATCTGCGTTGTCTTTATGTTTGGCTGAATTTGTGAGCCATCGCAAACAACTGAAGAGATGCTGTAAAATCTGCTGGGGTCCATGCAGGTAGCAAAGGTACTGTAAGTCCCAGTTGCTGGCGATCTATAGCCTTTTTTATATTGTATTGTTCCATATAGTGGTATCTTTTTATGGTTGTATGCTAGTTTTAAATATAAATCTGTGATATTCTAGTTGTTTAACTGTATATCGATGACAGGTTTTTATTTAGTCTAAGTATATGTATTAATAATGTATAGTTGGTTGGTTGGTTTGTTGTTTAACGCCATAATCAGCAATATTCCAGCTATATGACGGCGGTCTGTAAATAATCGAGTCCGGAGCAGACAATCCAGTGATTGACATCATGAGCATCGATCCACTCTTGTTTAATTTGACGCGTCAATGAAAACATTTATCTCTGAAGCAATCGCCTATTTTGACTAATACCAGATGTTCCCCGTGAACAGGTGGACAATTGACGTGTCTTTGCATGTGTTTGTGACAGTAGAGGCTCTCCTTTCCTCGAACACCTGGATCATCACTTGATAGTTACTCCTGTACACATACTGATGTTAGATTTGTAATGATTATGTGCAACCACATTTTGTGTCATATTTTCAGTTTAAGCTCACCCGCCGTGATATAACTGGAATACTGTTAAAAGCGGCGTTAAACCCAACTCACTCACTCACTCTATTTTCAGTTTTTTTGACAGGCGTTTTAGCAACTACAACATCATTATGATACCCTCATGACAATGGCTATTTACATTTTTCCAATTATTGGCCCGTTATATCTGGAAAAGATGATCGGGTAAATTCGTACAGCTGGAACCTTGATTTTCTGACTAGACAGCAACTTCCAACAAATCACAACCTTCAAATCACATTGGTACTCGGGGCAAGAGAAAGGGAGATAATGCATGTCATGTACAGGCATCCCAGTCAGGGGTATTCAAGTTAGCGTTGCACGAGTACTCTCTCTTTTCCAGTGTCCTCTGTACGATATGCAGTATCACCATCAAACATGTGTAATCGGGCATAAGCGTTTTTTAATTTCATTTCAAAACATAAGCTGAACCACGAAACATTTCTATGCAGTGTCATTTTCAAAATGTGTATCTCATTAGCCTGACTTTCGCCTGGATTTATTTCTAGTTGTATCTTAACGCCACATTCAGCAATGTTTCCAGATGTATGACGACCTTTGTAAATAATCATTTCTGGACAAGACAGTCCCGTGATTGACTTCCCGAGGACCGATTCACGCTATTAAATCCACTAAATCACCGAGCCTGACCACCAGATCCATTAAGTTGCCTCTTATGACTAGCGTGGGTTGTTGGGGACCTTACATGGAATTCCAAGGAGATAGAACAATAAGGGACCTGGTGAGTACATATAATAGAGGGTCCCGTGAAGATCTTGGATAGAATAGGTCTTCGGCAACCCACGCTTGCTGTAAAAGGTGACTATGCTTGTCGTAAAAGGCGACTAACAGGATCGGGTGGTCAGGCTCGCTGACTTGGTTGATGCACGTCTTCGTATCCCTATTGCGTGGATCGATGCTCATGATATCAATCCCTGGATTGTCTGGTCCAGACTTGATTATTTACAGACCGCTGTCATATAGTTGGAATTTTGCTGAGTGCGGCGTTAAACAACAAATCAACCAATCAACGTAAGAGGTGACTAACGGGATCAGGTGGTCTCGCTGACTAGATCGATGCTCATGAAGTCAATCCTTGGATTGTCTGGTCCAGATTTGAATATTTACAGACCACTGTCATATAGCTGGAATATGGCCGAGTGCGGCGTCAAACAACAAACAAACATTAAAGGTAGATGTACCAGTGAAACCATTAGGCTCTTGTATGACATAATGTTCGAAAATAAGATACAAAAGAAGAAAGGGTTGTTAATGTTGAGAAAGGCGTCGACGCTGTATCTAAACAATTTCTAAACTCAATAAAATCAGTTTGAATTTTGTCCACACATGACACACTGACAATGCTTCCTCATGTGTAACGCAAAATGGTCATCTTTCGGAGGTTATACTTAATTCTAGGGCTGAAGACAAGGGGATCCCTTTTCGCAGCATCTAATTTGTTCGCAGCTGAAATCGTGGGTTATGTGATCCGAAGTTATTAAGAGTACTTAATGGCCGTAAACTCGGGCAATATGCGGACTACACTAAGCTTTTCTTAGACGATGTGGACTTGTCTTAGAACTTCGATAAATACTCTTTCAATATTTTATAGAATGTCAAGAAAATGAACATCGATGAACCCAATTGAGCAAAACTATTTCTTACTAAACACAGGTAACATAACAGTGAAAAAACCCATCAGCGCTTTCCTTTTTAGTACGTAACTGGAAAGAATCTTATTTCCATTTTATTTGGAATGGTAAACCTGATGAAATAAAGAAAGTAATTTAAAAAGGGCTATAACAAACTAGAAACAGAACGATTGATTATAAAAGGATTTATCGACCCATTGACCCAGGTTTTCGGCGTGACGAACGAACGCTTTAACCACTAGGCTACACCACTTCTCTCTTGAATAATAAATGGTGTGGCGTTGACATATATGGATATAGCACGGGTTGATTCCTTGTATATATTTCGGAAGGTGTTTTATCCGACGTTTATACGATTTACTAAGGTCTTTACGATTCCGACTACGTCTTGAGCATGTGTTTATGAAGGATTTAACGTGGCTTTTAACATTATTTCAGTTTTTCTATCACGCCATGTCATCTTAGAGTGGAGGAAAGCACAAAGTGATGTAAGTCTTAGACGTTTACCACCTTGGTGAAACCCACGGGCACGGGTGTGGTCCTGGAAAGAACTATAGTCGGTGCGAACCGGATTCTAATACTGATGCCTTGAATGTTTTAACTTTGATATAACAACTTTTGAGCAAAAGTCATAATGATGACGCTCTTTGAAATTGTCGTTGAATTGTTCCTCATAGGTTGTGAAATGTTGACACCAAGGGCAGGAATTGTGTTCGACATGATGGGAAAGTTGACTATTGTATAGTTTGTGCTGAAGTTCCAAGCTATATACTGCTATGCATAGATCGCAATATGATACAGATGAGCCGGTTTGAGCACGCAGACCGCCTTCATATTGCTGAGTGCGGCGTTAATCAACAAACATGTTATCGCAGATGTTATACTCTTCAAAAAAATAAAAAACGCCAAGCCAGATTTGTGTGAGGTGGGAAAAAGAATTTAAACGAGGAACCGTACAAGGTATTGAGCCAAAATGGTGTGGAGAGAACACTTGGTGATTGTAGTCATCTCAGTTATCGGTACATAGGAAAAGTCCAAGGTTAAGGTCAGCTACCACCAATAACGCGTATGTCCCCCGTTGGAATCAATAGTGGCCAGACATCTCCTGCCCATGGAAGTAAGGAGTAAGTGAATCACATCCTGGGGAATGATAGCCCACTCGGCCTGCAACGCAAAAGCCAACTGCTGCAATGTCTGGGGTTGTGGTTGACGTCAGCATAGCCGTTGGTCCAATTCATCCCATAGGTGCTCTATCGGGTTCGAATCCGGGGATCTGGAGGGCCAGAGGAGAACATCAACGTTGTTGTTGTACAGACAGGCTCTTGTGATCCTTGCTGTATTCGATCGAGCGTTGTCTTGCTGGAATACACCGTTGCCTTTGGCTGTATTTGGGAGGACGTGTGGTAGGGGAATTTCGTTGACGTATCGTTGAGCCTTAAGAATGCCCTAGGTATGGACCAAACCTGTCCTGCCATGATGAGAGATAGCGGCCTACATCATAAGGTTAACTTCACCAAACCTGTCGACTTCCTGTACGCAGTTTCCGGCGTAACGTTCTCCCGACGTCTGTAGACCCGTGCTCTTCCAACCCCGAGATGGAGGAGAAATCTTGATACGTCGCTTAACCAGACATCTCTTCATCGCAGTTGAGGCCATACACTGTGTTGACGACACCAATGCAGTCGATGTTGACGATGTCAATATGACTCGTCGAACTGGACCTGCTGATCTTAAACTGTTCCATACGGTCTGGTCGGAGGTTCTGCGCAATCCAGGTGCGGTTGAGGTGGCTGTGGTCGTCCTTTCACGCAGGTGGGGCAGTCGGATGTAGCGATTTTGGGCAGGGGGTGGTTACTCATGGTCGCCCCGACCTTGGTCAATTACATGTTGATCCATGCTGTTGAAACCGATCCCATAGCCTTGTGATGGTGCTGGGCGCTACATTAAAAACCCTGGCTACAGCTGATCGGGATTCCCGTGCCTGCAAGCGGCCTTTGACGTTGTTTCTTTGCACTTCTGGTAATCTTGGCATGTTGTTGAACTGTCACTGTTTGATTGACGCAGATGCCAGGCAATCAAAAACCCTGCACTTTAATACCGTTTATGGTGCTGCTGCAGCTCCATTGCCCTTTTGTTAATGCAATGGGTGCGTTTTTCTGAATCGTACGTGTTTCCCGACTAATGGTTTGCTTGTCTTTGGTGTGATCATGTTGATCTTGGTCCGCTAAGTTTGCATTTATGGCCAACAATATCCGTATTGCGTTTCTTTTTTTAAGAGTATATCAATTCATATGAGGAAGTCCAGCATTTCAAGTATTGTTCTCTCAGTAAACGTCAAATGATATTTGCCTGTCACTTTTTAAGTATCCTGAAACTTTGAAAACAGAGATCTTGCTATATCTATGGTAACATTTAGTGATAACTGCCCTATTGATCTGCCCATTGGAAAACAATAGGATAGAGTTATAAATGTTTATTGTATATATGTTATTTTATTATTGTTTAATAAACTCAAGCGCATCAAAAATAATTTTTGAAATAGCAGACGTACGTCTGGAGGACGTACGTTCAGATCCATCTCAAAACATGTTCAAAGAGTCGTTGCCAGGCGTTGTTTTCCTCCAAGTCCTCTAGAACAAACACACCATCTCCATCCAGTAGCTGAGTGAGTACTGGAGGGAGCAGGTTACCTAAAATAGCGTCCGAATATAGAAGCATTAGTCTCTTAGGCATGTTATTGTTGCATGCATAGATCCCAGATGACAGTGTAAAAGAACACAACTCGTCCTGAAGGAAAGTCTCGGTCACATACAGGACAGTCTTCCAGCTGTTGTGAATACAGTTAATAATTTCCTCAGCTGCACAAACGCCCACTTCGAAGTCTCTGTCTGGAATACACAGTCGCAGACCTCTCTCAACCTCCATCTTCTGTAGAAAGGTGGTACACACCCACTGATAATCATCATGTTGAGAATAGTAAATAAATATGTCATACTGATAATCTTGTCGGCATGGCACACAATAATCGAACGCTATTAATCTCAACATCCAGTATTTTAAAGAGATTGCATTTTTCAATATCAAATGACAAATAACAAGACCAGAAATCAGAACACACATCAAACAAACCGAAAAGGCAAGCCAAGATCTAGCGGAGCAATATCTCCAGTGTCTCCCATAGGAACTAGTAATGTTTGAAAGTTTGATGAGCTGACCCTCCGCACTGATTCTCAGCTAAATGGTCTATTTCACATATCAAATGTTAAAAAATATATTTCTTGATATTGAAAAACTTAACTTATTTTCAGTAAAAACAGTATTCAGGCTTTCAGAATTAATCATTGGGGGACCCAAATGACATCAGAGTTGTTTTTAATGATAACGGAAATAACATATGTCAAATGTCCTGTAGTCAGATACGTTAGACTGCATGTTATCATTGCAATCAAAATATATTGCACAGCATTAATTAACTTGCAAAAAGTGCTATTGTCATTTGCATAGGACCACATATTATATCATTTTCAAACGAAGTCATCGCCTAAGGATCATTTGTCTCAAAACAGGAAAGTGTCGCGGACACCTGTTCAAGAAACACATTTTCTACAGATATTAGCAAATAATAACAAACACGTATTAGCTATGAAAGTTTGTTCATTTTGCAAAAATAACTTGATAACAAACATTGGTACAAATATCGAACAAACTACATGCCAAGTCCCTGGCCTTCAAGAATTAGTCTACTGAGAACACAGCAATAATCTTCAACTGCAAAAACTGACGTATCTGATGTCAACCTGAATCAACAACACAAGTTCACAAGTGGCCGATCTTTGGCTTAAAAACGTCTGAAGTTTAAACATTTATATGAAAGATGAGGTTTATATTTTCTCCATATGACATTTAGCACAAACTCTAACACAACGTATCTGATGCTTTTTGAGGCATTGTGGTTGAAATCTTGGCAATTCGTAAAAAATACAAAGTGAATGTTCATTTGAATGCCTTCTCAATACGGGCGACGTCACGTGCAGCTACGTTGTACTGGCGCCTTGTTTTGCCAATAGCGACCGGTTCATCAATAAAGCAGAGCACATCGTCAAATTCTATCCAAATTTCATCAGGACGAGATGGCCACTTGTAGGTCTTGCCTTTGTCTTGTGTTTTCTCCATGAAAGTTATTTTGGTATCGCCATCATCTATGTCAACTTCGAGAACCTTCCCGATGAACCAGTTACCATCATATATGGCAGCCAGAAATCTGCCAACAACTGGGACAGCAGGTACATGTGGTGCAGCAGGTACAGGGGATACAGAAACCTGTGTGGGCTGCAGTACATGCGTTTCCTGGGATATGGTTTGGTCAACATGGTGACGGCGCCAACCAACACATAAGTCATTGCCGCTCAGACAACCTGTACAGTAGCATGATACAGTTCTTGAAAAAAGAACCCCATTCTGCTGTATGACTGCGTGCAACTTCATTGTGCCATGTACAACCTTTGCGTTAGAGGTAGCTATGTCCTGTGCAGCCTTCTCTACTTCAGCAGTAGAGTAGAATCTGTATTGGATTGATTTTTGATTGTGTCTCGCCCACTCATAAAAATCGTGGGCATCTTGAATTGTCGCTTTGCCTTGTTTTACTGCATCAGATGCCTGGCGTTTACATGCACCTCCTAGTCCATCACATGGACCTTTCCCGTGTCCACACTCAAAATAGTTCCAACGTGCCTCAAGCCCAAACAGCTCCTTATGCTTCAGAATGACATCAAACATGTACCGATTTCTGTACTGTGATGACGGGCTATCAGTCCAATAGTGAACATGCGTTGCATCAGGGAAAGTGGTTTTCAGTTCAGGTAACATCCGTTTTAGGATTGTAAGTACCGCAGTCGAGTTGTGCTGATTGACGTCAGACACATAGATAAAGTTTTTGTGTACCAGTTTGTCCAACTTGTAGTAGACCACTACAGGGTGAAGCGTGACATTTGTTGGGTTCCAGTATGCACTTTGGATTTCATCCATGCTGGAACATGTAAAGTTCTCAGCAAAGTCCATCTGTATGATGATATGGCCATCTGGGAGTGTATCCTTCAACTCATGGATAGCTGCATATTGCGACTTTACTCTTCCAACGTGGTCACGGAACTCAGCAAATTCAAGTAGCATATAATTCTTGAAGTCAGTGGCATTCTTTATTATCTTCACCACCTTCATTTTCTTTTTCCCCTCAACATCCACACGCCTCCACTCATCATATTCAACGTCATCCTGAATAGTTTCCAGCATCTGATCCATTGCGTCCACGGATACACTGTCATACGCCATATCCGGTGATTTTGGAACTTGTAATCCAACACTTCTCAGACATTTGAGTTTCATGGCCATATTCTGATGTTTGTTGCATAAGTAAGTGTTTCTTGAAATGTGTGATGTGAGCAAGATGTATCTGGGCCGTAGCCTACAGAATGATGCAAAAGACAGTTTCATATTCTGGTTTTCAATCTTGAACTTAGCATACACCTCAGACAGATAATCATTCATTATTCTTGTTTGATGTTTGACACCATTTAGGCTCTTGGAATCTGCTTTGCCTGGCATACATACGCTGATATCATCTCTCTCCATGAATGAGACAATTAGTCTCTTAATCTGCTCTCTTACGAGAGTGAGACGGGCTCTTCCTCGAATCTCTATTACCTTAGAGGTGGTCCGAGATAAACTTCTTCGTGACAAACCTGTAGCCTTGTTCAAACCCGACACACATCTGTACTTCTTAAGTACTTTCCCTCCAACAAGAGATGTCATCACATTCATTTTGCTTTGCTTTTTGTTGGCTGCGACACTTTCTTTAATTTCTCCAAAAAGTACATTAGCCATTGTTAATTGTCTAACAACAGTGGCTGGCAAGTGACTGGGACTCACACCGTTTTCCCGGAGATCATGTCTGGTTTTTGTTGAAGGTGTTGCTTCAGACTGTTGTTGAAGACTGCCTGTCGTCTGATCCGAGCTATTTTCAGTATTGTTGCGGCTAGTCTGTTTGGATGTCCCATACTTCGCCTTCATCCTCTGATATCGTTTCTTCCATTTCTGTTGCTTCTTTTTGTAGCTAGAGAGTTGGTCAGTCAACTCTTTTACTTTTGTATTTGCTCTTTTCAGTGCACACGAGCGTTTTGGTTTTCTCTGTTTATTTGGAAAAGTCATTTTGACCAAGAAAGGACCTGGGCGTGACCTTGACTGCCGAGATGCATCAGTACTGCTTGATACTGTGTCGACCTGGTCAGTTTCTGCATCAACGACCACATCTGTGACCTCAACTATGCTGGCACCTTGTGCTTGTTTCTGTGTTTTCTTTCGATCCCGGTATGCTTTACTATAGAGTTTATTCCTTTCACGAACTGCCTTTTTTTTCTTTGTTTGCATTTGATCAATTGGTATTCTGTACCCTTTGACTCGAGCACGTTCTTTGGGTAGATATTGACTGTCATTTCGTTTCTTTCTTTCCCGATACACCTTTTGGTTTTCTGCGTCTGTTTTCGCCATTTTCTAAAATCAAGCATAGACAAAAACATGCTGAAACAGTCGTCGAAGTGAAAGAGATGTTTGCACTATGAAATAGCCACCCTTTAAAAATGTTCATACTTTATTCTTTGTGAAATATGCTAATTTCATCAGATACGTTATAAAAATCATCACATACGTTAGTTGGTATTTAGGTGTTTAGACAGGAGCTTGAGTAAAATATAGTACTTTTCCTATCAATGAAATGCATACCGACAGAAAACATCAGTAGAATGTTGTGGTCTTCACTTAAGAAACATATCTAATCATTAAATTACATTCGTAAACTACGTTAGGTTGGCATCAGATACGTTAGGTTGGAAAACATGCTCTTTGGGAATTGCTAATATACAGTAAGGGATTCATTTTTTCCATCCTAATTAACAGAATCTATTTTATCAAATAATTATCACCTATGGGGTGGCTTTCAATTCAGATGACCCATTTACTAAGATGGCAAAGATTACTTACCAATTTGTGATGGATTGTTGAGAACCGAAACCAGGTTGCAGGACGTTCTTGGCTGAAAATCGGAAGTAGAGAGGTGGCACGGCGCGCATGTGCATTGATAAGATTCAACTTATCGAGATTACTGAAGTTCGATGACCATCTTCCGATGTCACTGGTGTTATCTAACGTATCTGACAAAATTGTATCTGATGACAACTTTGCGAATTGGTCAGAAATTTCGAAAGTATACTCATGTCAAGGTTTGGGATGGACATTTCTCATAGGTGACACGTTGTTTTATGAAAGTAACAAACACAACATCATATATTGTAGTTTATCAGGCGTGTGCGGCAATAAATCATGCTAACGTATCTGATGAAAAGTATCGTACCCAGCTGGTATAATTTTGTGATTTTGTGATTCATGATTTTTCTTTAAGTTTTTTAAGAAATTGATGATAAAAAGTGTTAAGACTATGCTTGAACAAATCATATCTGACACATTGTGTTATAATGTTTGTTTAGTTGGTGTGTGACTTCTTCACACAAAAGTGACCAACGTATCTGATGGTAAAATCGGGGACAGTAGAATATTGCTAGCCAAAGATATTTTATCAGAACCATTGCTTGAAAACTGCTGGTAATGATGATATATGATCATTACGCATGAAAAAAAAGAGTAAAATGCAGTAAAAATGTGCAGAATATTTAATTATTCAGTGGAAAAGTCACACACTGAGCACGGGGACAAGGCTGGGGACGACTTTATAAGCAACACTATAGACTGGTGAAGATACAAACTGAACGAAGTACATCAACATGTGTATTCATTTAGCCGTTCAGCTTGCATTATATGATTTGTAACAGAAAATATATTTTCAGCTAAGATATTAACCAGGTTTTCCGCAGGGGACAGCACAATTGTGTAATTTACCATTTAGCTGAGAATGAATGTCCGTGTTGAGGCAACTGTACGAGTCAAAGCGTCGAAACTGGACATCTGTGTCAATTATCCACGTCAGAAAGTCCAAGGCTGCACATCCACAGGACAGGATGTTTCCATGAAGGTCAAGTGAAATCTGCTGCGAATCAAATACCCTTTCATCTAACATTGTTCTTGTATTTGTGCTCAGAACACCGATGGAATTAAATGAAAGATCAATATGAGTGATGTTTAACATTCCAGACAATTCGATAGGGACATCTTCAAACACATTATGGCTTAAGTTCAAACATTTCAAAGTCTTAAGATCCCTGAATATATGTGTATACATTTTGTGTAAAGAGTTAAAGGATATATCTAATGAACGGACGTTTTCGAGCGGACTAAACAGTGTCTGGGAACTCACATTAGACATTAAATCAGTATCAAAGTGAACATTGTTTAGATACAGTATCATGACGTTTGGGAATGATTGAAAAAATGTCAACGGTATTTTTTGAAAGAAATTCCCTGTAAAATCAAGATATTTTACATGCTTTACCCCATAAATATGCCCTGAATTCGTTATCAAAGCAGAATAAGAAAGATCCAAATATGTCAAGTGTTCACCTCCATGAAAACATATGTTAGTTCCCTTTAAATGTCTTTCATGTGAACCTGACCCACTCAATAAAAGTGTCTCCAATAATGGAGGAAGATAGAATGTCATGTTTCCCAAAGATTCCCCAAGTACGTCTTTGGAATGTTGATCTTGTCCATCACGAAGATACAAATGATGGGACTGCTCTGACACATCCAGAACAACAAGGTTATAGAATTCAGGAAGATAAAACAGCAGGCTGGGCTCACCAACTACAGCATTTTGTCTGAGGTCAAAATATCTTAGACAGCTTTGAAATGGTTCATGAAATAGCGCAATAGTTTCGATTACCACTATGTTATTATCTCTAAGAATTAGTCGCTCAACACATATGGTAACAAGGTAACGGGTCATTTCAGACGTGAGCACGAGTGTTTGATTGTGCATCACACCGTGAATGGTGGTATCATATCTCTTGACATGTGAAAAGTCTATTTCGGTCATATTCCTTCCACTCATTCCTTTTAAGCTTAATAAAGACGGATGCAGTCCAAAGGGAGTGGTGTCTCTCGCAAATAGGAATCTAAGATAGGGAAAAGGAAGGTAGACATTGTCATCTAAAGATATAAAATCATAACACCCTGACAATGATAGGTTGCTGACAGGTGCTTCCCTGAAGTTGACAAAGGAGCCTTTCCCTAAACGTCTAATAAGGCAAGGTGATCCAAAACTGAGACTCTGTAGCCTCTTCAGTTGTGCAAAGCCAGGTCCAAACACGGGTTCCTCAGGCCCATCAATGACCAGTGACTCGAGATAGTGAAGATCAGCAAATGTAGCGTCAGGATATGTCAATGATGAAAACTGCATCTTCATTCTGCTCAAACGGAGTGTTGTCAGGGATGTCAGGTTTTGAAATGTCCCAAGAGGAAGAGAGGAATAGGTAAAGTTAAATCTATTCCCATCTAAGTTCAGTCGTCGAAGGGCAGGCAGGTTTTGCAGAGCACCTTCCTCCAGAAACTCAAGGTTGTTATCATTCACAAGCAGCGTATGTAATGAGGGAAGGTAGGGCAGTGATCCTTTACTGAGGCTTGATAAGTTGTTGTTACCCAGATAAAGTTCGGTTGTGTTTCTGGGAAAGCCTCGAGGGACTCTGTTGAAACCACAACGTGAGCAGTCCACTGTTGTTTCATTGGCTGCATGGGAAATGTTGCATTTCTGAAGGTCGGAATGTTGCTGTGGGGAACACTGTAATGTCAACAGATTCGGAATTACAACCCAAAGCAGACAGCAGAACTTGACTGGCATCATTCCTGTCAATAAAATTGTAATGTTCATAAATATATATACTGAATAACAAAGGTTCCTGTGACATTGAATAAGGTTTAATGCAAAATTATGTTTTTAACCAAATCTGAAACAAATGAAATAATATATTATATGCGACCTTCAATTTCACAGTTTATTGTTTAACCTTTAGCCTGCTGTATTGGTTTAGCAGAAGGCACTGTAAAGAGAGTGGACGATTTCAAATAGTCGGTGCTTCATTAAACGAGGGACAAAAGGAGAAATATTTTCCACATTTATTACTGATAGAAAACTACACATTACTGCAGAAAAATATCCAAATGTTTTCAAACATGCCAAGCTGAAGACCCCGTGAAGATCCGGGGTAGACTAGATCTCCAGCAACCCATGCTTGCTGTAAAAGGCTACTATGCTTGTCGTAGGAGGCGACTAAGGGGATTGGGTGATCAGACTCACTGACTTGGTTGATGCATGTCATCGATCCCAATTGGGTGGATCGATGCGCATAGTGTCAATCACTGGTTTGTCTGGCCCCGGCTCGATTACTTACAGACCGCCGTCATATAACTGGAATATTGCTGAGTGCGGCGTTAAACAACAAACAAAACCAAAGTGAACTTAAAATTTGTAAATTTACTTAAACTGACCTGAATTACATTACTGAAGGTGGTATGCATTTAATATCAGGAACCTGTTTAAATAGTTAAATTTGTGGAAATTGAGTTCAATAAACATATCTCCAATATCTTAATTTTAACTGAATATAATGTCAATTTTGTTTGGCAAATAACAGCTCGATGGTAAATAATGCCCAATTTCAGTAAATATATTCTCCAAACGTTAAACAGAATATGAACGTAATTTTCGAGGTCATCATATCAGTTGCAGAAAGCAGAACAACCGGGTTAATCTGACTTGTCATGTAATTAAATTTGCAGGAAACAATAAATGACTTTAAGTTATTAATATTTACCAATCCTAAGTTTCTGTTGAATATTTACGATATACGAAAATACAAATACCGTGAAGTGATACTAGAAGACGTACGAAAATCATTGCGCGCGTAGTAAAAGGCGACTAACGGGATCGGGTGGTCAGGCTCGCTGACTTGGTTGAAACATGTCATCGGTCCCAATTGCGTGTATCGATGCTCATGATTTTAATCACTGGATTGTCTGGTCCAGACTCGTTTATTTACAGACCGCCGTCATATAGCTGGAATATTGCTGAGTGCGGCGTTAAACAACAAACCAACCAACCAACCAACCGACCACAGCAAAACTTATTGCTATTTTAACATCAACAAAGTTTACACTGTTTACATATATATGCTTCCGGGGTAGAATAGGTCTTCAGCAGCCCATGCTTGCCGTAAAAGGTGACTATGCTTGTTGTAAAAGGCGACTAACGGGATCGGGTGGTCAGGCTCGCTGACTTGGTTGATGCATGTCATCGATCCAAATTGCGTGGATCGATGCTTATGATATTAATCACTGGATTGTCTGGTCCAGACTCGCAGTGCGGCGTTAAACAACAAACCAACTACATATATATGCCTTGGCGAAAGTTGACGATCATATAGTTGGGATATTGCTGTGTGCGGCATTAAAAAAGCAACCAACCAACCAATCTTCATCGAAAAATGTTTTATTTGTCAATTTCTGTTTAATATGACGAGAGAAAATAGAAAATGAAGATCGTGAAACCTGACATCAAAATTTCAGAAAATGCAAAGGACGCCGAATGTGATGTCACAGACAGAGGTAGTTTGCTGATACTCTTTCGTTACAAAACAATTACAGTATATCTTTAATAGTACAGTACATTTTTAAAAGTTCCAATGGTTTTGAATAGTCACATCCAGAATAAACACAAATCACCACATAGTATCCAGTAAGCACCACTTATATGAAATAACAATGGGACTTTGACGATTTAATTATTATTAAATCCGTTTGACCTTGTATGCTCCCGGAAACGGTAGACGATGACGCAACATGCCAGTGCAAGTTTCTTGGTATCTTTCATTGAATGTTGAATATGAAGATATATGATTCACGTATCTGCCTGATGATTTTGCTTTCACTGTAATATTGTGTCCCACGCAATACGTCAAGATGCCGTCGATCGGCAATGATCAACTTCAACAAAAGTTGTGCGAAATGGGCGCTTGGGCGTGTTTGTTTGTTGTTTTACGCCGCACTCAGCAACATTCCAACTATGTGACGTGGGCCTCTAAATAATCGAGTCTGGACCAGACAATCCAGTGATTGACATCATGAGCATCGAAGCAAGCAGTTGAGAAACGATGACATGTAGCAAGCAAGTCGCCTTTTACGGAAAGCAAGACCTATTCTATCCCGGATCTTCACGGGTATGCATCAATATGTAGGTATGAAAGTGTCTCCGTTCGTCCGCTTCTTAGAGGGGACAAATCTTCTCAAAAACTATTCAAGTCAGAGAAATGAAATTTTACACACTGCTTTAACTGGTCATGATCTCATTTGAGTTTGAAAATTGGTGTCGTAAATTCATGTTTTACAGAGCTATGGTCGTGATTTTCAACTTCGTGCATACTGTGTTTAGTTTCTCTGAAACTACTAACGTTACTCGAATGAAAGTGTGCATGCTTATGTAAGAGATACTTAAATTACCTTTTGAAAGAGTTACGGCCCTTTGTCCATCTCAGTTTACTTTGTGCATAGTGTCTGCATTGGGAACATGTTCTTACAGATACTTATCAAGACTGGGTTATTTTATCCAGAGAATAATGTGTGTGTATTAATTTCACATTTAATCATTTTACTGATGACACAAAGCAACCAAAGTGCCTATCTCTTCTTAAGGCTTCATAGGACTCTTTATAGTTTATATTCACTACTATATGAACAAACAACATTCTAATGTGCTCCATGGCGGGGCATAGTGATAATGATGTTTTCTTGTTTTTCGTAATCTGCATAATTTGCTATTGAATCGTCTACCTAGAAAGGATATCACTTCAGATTTTGCATATAATCAATATTCCTTATTATTCGTAGTGTTCAACGAAACAAAACAACGCCCAAACGTGTCACTTAAGCTTATCAATATCCTAAAGTTTATCAACTATTTTAAAATAATTAAATTAACACGTGCAAACTCGGATGAAAATGAGATATTTGTTTACAAGGATTTATACATCCGTGTAAATAATTCTAGATATTCGTGTAGATAGACACACATACATCCCTTATTTCCTCCAATAATTGAAGAGTACAAATAGTGTTACGGGATCACGATGCACGTGGATTTGTTTGTTTTCCGCCATTGCTTTGTTTCTAAACTTTCATCCAGTTGAAGATTCAGATTGTTTTTGTGAATAATTTATTATACCAAAAGTTGCCATTTGTTAGAAATTAAGTAACTTGGTGTTTTCTTTTTATCAGGTAACAAAAAAATATGATATGTAATATACGTGGGGACCACCTCCGTGGTGTAGTGGTAGAGCGTCCGCCTGGAAAGCAGGAGGTCTTGAGTTCGATCCCCGACCGCTTCATACCACACGACATTAAAAGATGGTACTTGTTGTTACCCTGTCTGGCGCTCGACATTAAGGGGCTAAAAACAAGGACTGGCCATGGTCGGCTCGGAGTCAGTATACTGTGTCTGAGTGGGGTATTCATATTAAACTGCGGCATGGTATCTCAGTGCGCTAGCACTATAAATCGGCATTAGTCCGGACTAGTACAAGCAGACACACACACACAGACAGACACACAGACACACACACACACACACACACACACACACACACACACACACACACACACACACACACACACACGCCCACTGGTTGTAATGCTATTCGTTGATTGTAAGGTTGGTTCGTCTGTTGTTTAATGCCTCACTTTATCGATTTAGTCACCTCGTACGGCAGGTCGCTAGGGAACTTTTCTAATAATGAATCATCAAGGTGTAGAGAGAAGAAACGCTGCAATGAGGAAGTGTAATCACAATGGGGATCAAAAAAGAAGCTGATTGGCACAGTGTGTTTCCTCTAGCTTTCGCAGTTTTTCATATTGGTAGTTACTTGATCAGATTTCTTCACTCATATTTGTGATATGGCAAACATGAATCCACGTCCCATTAATCTGTATTATGTAGCAAAAGAACCACAATGAACTAAACCTCTAATGGTATTTTTTTGAAAACATTCGTGAATAATTGATTGAGTATGGTTTTACGCTGCTTTTGGCAATATTCCAACAATATCACGGGAGGGGGACACCAGAAATGGGCTTCACACATTGTACCCATGTCGGGAATCGAACCCGGGACTTCAGCGTGATGAGCAAACGCTTTCACCACTAGGCTACCCAACCGCCCCATTCGTGAATAAATCAGACTTTAACATAAATCAGTATATTGTATTTTTTGTTTGTTTAACGTCACACTCCAATATTGGGAAACGATCCCGGATCTTCGGGATGACATGTGAACGGTTTAACAACTGGACTAGATACCCATCGGCAACGAAGTCCCTCGTGAAGATCCCATAGTAACGGAGCTGCATGGCAAAATGCTCATGATGTCAATCACTGGATTTCCTGGTCCAGATTCAATTATTTACAGACCGCCGTCATACAGCTGGACTATTGCTGACTGCAGCGTTAAACAAAAAACAACAACCAAGCATTCACAAGACAATCAGCTACACTACCACCTACCTGTTAATTCCAGATTCATGATTGACTCATCGTTGAGCTTCTCTGTTGTGTTACCTCTTACAGCTGCGCTAAGTTGTGTCTGGGATCCGACAGTGAGAATTTATATCAGGGTAGATCACACCCGAATAGTCTGATCCGCAAACGTCACGTCTCTCCGCGCTTTTAAATAGGGATGTGGCGACCATGGAGTATGCAAACAGGAAAGTGTACAAAGATATTCCTGGTTAGAATTGGTCCACAGTAACCTAGTCATGTGGTAAGAGACGACTTAATGGATGGTCAGGATCGATGCGCGTGTATCAGTGTATCCACTGCGGCATGAAATCTTAGTTCGCTACAACTATATAACCAGTACCAGCACACACACACACACACACACACACACACACACACGCAAACGCACACGCACACACGTGCATCCACGTCTCCATAATAATCATATGAACACGTCGTTCTCACCTCACCTCACCTCACCTCACCTCAACCTCATCTCATCTCACCTCACAACATTTTTGTTTCTGCGGCCGTTTTGTTTTGCCAGACGAAATTCAAAGGCGCGCGGGGCGCGTGCAGTGGCGGGAAATTTATGTTCTAAATACGGAGGTATTTGAGAACGTCCAGCTCGCATTGGCTGGAGCCCAGCAGTGCAAGGGGCATTATGGGTACAAGTGCTGGGCGCACGTCATGTCAAACGTTTGGCTTTGTCCAATTGTTGGCCATGTATGCCATTACCCTTGATGTAAAATTGTTTCAATTCGCAGCAGCTGCCTATCCAACCAACCTAATAAAGCAACCCAATGAAGCAAAGACCCGTTAAGGTCCGGGGTAGAATAAGTCAGCAACCCATGCTTGCCGTAAAAGGTAACACACTCGACACACTCACACACATGTTTTCGTCATCATTGATCAATTGGCCAATCATTGAAAGGTGAAGACAGAAATGTCAAATAGAAACTCAGGTAAATTCATAGATTACTGTAGACTGTCACTGTCAGTGTAGGCACAGATGTGCATTTCGTCGTTTTGTTCACAAGGATGGGTCGTAGCGAGGATATTTGTGAACGATCATGCAGTTAAACACTTTGAGGTGTCTCGGTGTATGCTGAAACCCCTGAGTTAAGATTTAAGGGTCTAAATGATCAGAAACAGCGCTTCTATCTGTATTCACTTGTGCTAGGGAATTCGCAAGGGTTCCCCCAGTAATGTCGAAGTAGTCCGTCACCGTTTACGTCATTTCAAGAACACGGTCTCGTGGAAAGCTTATAGACGTCATATTGTGTCCCGTCAATTACTCGTCAATTTCGCGTTCAAAAGCCGAAACTCGTAAAAAAATATTTCCCAATAGCGCCCTCTTTCACCTGACCAAGCATGAATATACACACCACCTCACCCACAATCTTCACCCAGTCTGGTTCAGCCCAGCTATTTAAGTTTATAAGATCAGCTGCGGATGACTGTTAAACTTCCTGGTAGCAACATTTAAAAAATGTATATTCATTCCAACGATCGGCTTGACAGTGTTATGCTCTACAGACAGGTTTAATGCAAATTTGCATAGCTACACTATCCAGTTCAGCTGCTCTTCAGAACTGAGATGTTTTAACCCTGAATCAGTCGTAAACTGTATTACAAGAGTATTCATTACAAACATTGTATTGAGTTAAATGAATTGTACAAGTTTAACGTTAACATAAAATTCTCTTTTGTAAAATTTTCACAAACAGGAAGCCTTTGTCAAAAGGGGCGGTGGGGTAGCCTAGTGGTTAACGTGTTAGATCGTCACGCCCAAGACCCGGGCTCGATTCCCCACATGGGTACAATATTTGAAGCCCATTTTTGGTATCCCCAGACGTGATATTGCGCGGATATTGCTAAAAGCGACTTAAAACAATACTCACTCATTCATTTACGTCATGATAAACAACTATTTTTGGTGAAATACATGTGTGTCACTATCTGGTGATGGCCAACCCATTCTAACAAGGAAGTAATTTTAACCGTGGTTGTCTTGGCCGACAGTAGAGTAGGCGATCTACTGGCCAAATAATCACAAACGGCTGTGGGGGGTTAGGCTGATGACGTTTATTGTATTGGTAGGTACGAATGTACGTACGTACTTAATTCAGCCTGAAACAATGAAAGTACAACATAAGCAAATATAACATGGAATCTAATAAATATATACAATATGTTATAGTTACTCTTTAAATTTCTAAAATAGAGATATCACTTTCTTTAAATAAAATAGAGCTTACTTTACTTTACACAATACATCAGACGTACCGTACAATACACCAATGTATCAATACACAGATACAAAATATATCAATCTGATAATAAAGTGATAACGAACATACTGTATGTAATTTTGGTAAGAATTACAAATCATGAAAGATAGAATACTTATACAATATCTAAGATAACATTACATACCAGATAGGTGAAACCTGTACTGGTAATACCGGTAACAATGATTGCATGGTGAACGTTGCCACTGACAAATCTGCATAATAAGGAAAAACATATGTAGAATATTATATACAAATGAAATCTTATAGTAAAATAAGGTATAAAAATATATCGTACAACAGCCACTCATATCAGACATACAACACTCATACATCTGCACTTACCAACATATATCAAACATACAGGGCGAAACCGCATTATCAGTGGTTCATATTGGGAAAGGGGGGTCACCCTTATTTCAAACGGGAGCTAAGTCCGTTGTTTTCGTATTTGCGAGTAATGGCGTCACCCATGCTGTTCGTTGTTGGTCCAGCTATTAAATGCCCAGCTTATCCCTAAGGTAAAACGTATGCGTAATTAAATGTTTGAATGCATTATAAATTTATGTTTCCATCCGTACATCTTCTAAGATTGGTTTAGTGGTGATAACCATTTTGTAAAATGTGGGCCCACATCTTTCCCGTCATCTGTGGTGATCGAAACAAGTGGGCCCACATTTGTATTTCGCCTAGATTCGTTAGGTTGTTTCGTTAGTTCTGATAATCAATCCCTAAATGTGGGCAGACGTTCTTCCGTCATATTGATTGCAACAGGAGGGATCACATTTATTAATCGCGAAATTCTCCTTAAATATTGATAATCATTTTCTCAAATGTGGGTCCACATTGTTCCCGTCATATATGGTGATCGAAACAAGTGGGCCCACATTTGTATATCGCCTAGTGGGTAGACGTTCTTCCGTCATAGTGATTGCAAAAGGAGGGACCATATTTAAAAATCGCTAGCTTCATTAGCTTGGCTTACTTATAACCATTTTCTAAAATGTGGGCCCACATTGTTCCCGTCTTATAGTGATCGAAACAGGTGGGCCCACATTTTTAAATCGCTGGGTTTCAGTAGGTTGACGAAGTCATTTAGGCTAGTGGGCTCACGTTTGTCATTATGTGACATTATGTATTATTCATATTTTGTAAAATTGATGGGAAATATCTTTATAAATCATTTCGTGTGACAATAATTCCATGAAAGGCACAAAAGTCTTTGAAGTTTGAATAACTGCATCATAGCTGACCACACTAAGTTTATAAAAATAGCTACCAAGCAAGAACTAAATCAACTTCAAATTAAATTTACAGAGGCAATACCACTCATTCTACTTTTTCCAACATAACACATCAATCTAATCATAAGTGTTGGTGGCGATATAAGCCTGAAAATATGTCTACACTTGAATTGATCTCGGACATGATACAAGCCTCAAACGTTTCCGAGAACTTGTTCCATAAAAGGAATAACTCATGAATATTAATGACCCCACGACCTAGTTTGGCGATGTTCGTAGAAGTGAGTTCTGCTGTATTGCCATCTTATTTGTACATATTAATCCAATTATAAGTCATAATACTTATTTTTAATAGACAAATTATGAGTTTGTTATGCGGGTTTGTTTACGTAGTATATATTCTCAACAACAAGTGCGTTTAGTTTCGAATGTGGGCCCACCTCGAACTTTTGATTAGGCAAACGGAGTTAGCTCCCTTCTCGAACCACCGATAATGCGGTTTCGCCACATACAGACATACATTTACTTTCCATTACTGTACAAAGGGGTTTAAATTACTTAGTTTATATATATAGTTAGGTTTTGTGTTTAGTACTATCTTATACAGATAAAGAAAACTCACTTAACAGGTCACTGAACTAGGTATTTGCGAAAAAAGGTAAGCATGGCCCGCCATACCGATAATACCCGCCACTCACACAATTTGCATCACACTCACACAAACAGCAGTACTCCTGCCCTGGTACGGTGACCGGCAAACAAACCAGACCAGCCAAGTGATGGACCAGAACATATAGTGACACTATCGCGTATATACCGATAAAGATGAACCTGAAATTGATATGCCATATCTTCCATTTTGTCCGTTGGGTACAAGTCCAAAGATCTTGTTGATTATATACTCCTCACTAAAAGTTAAACAACAAGTATTATTTTCCGTGCAACATTCACAACAGTGTTGAATGACATCCATTGAGAACAAATCCAGGCAGGAAAATAACCTACGAATACTCGACTTAAAGCCTTTTTCATGTAGATTTTCCTGATAACACTGATAACATCGCCTGAACACAACCACCCTCAAAACACACATGCAAAATGCACGACATGCATGTTTTACACACTTCACCCATGCACCCTGATTGCTTAAAAACTCCCAGCAAGGGCAATTTGTCGACATTAACACTTTCGACATGGCTAGGCGTCACTTAACGCAAACTGAGGTTGCTCAGATTGTTGGAATGGTACAGGGGGGTCTCACCACAAACTGCTGTTGCCAATCATTTTAATGTTCACCGCAGTGTCATCTCAAGAGCGATAACTCGATACCATCAAACTGGACTGATGACAGAGAGACCACGTACAGGTCGTCCAAGGGTGACAACTCCTCGTGAGGACCACCCTAGCCCGGAGAAACAGGTTAACTACGGACAGATCTCTCCAGAATGACCTTCAGAGAGTTGCAGGAAACAGAGTCACAACACAAACACTAAGAAACAGACTTTACGCTAAGGACCTGAGGTCCAGGCGACCAGTACGATGTACCCCACTGCCTGCACACCATCGACAACAGAGACTTGCTTGGGCCAATCAACGCCGTAACTGGAGGGTCAATCGCTGGCGTAACGTTCTCTTCACAGACGGGTCAAGATTCTGCATTGACTTCAACGATGGTAGGGCACGTGTGTGGAGAAACCGTAATGAACGATACGCCAACTGTACAATTGCTGAACACGACCAGTACGTAGGTGGAAGTTTGATGATATGGGCTGGCATCAGGGTTGGACACAGAACTGATCTTGTGGTCATCAGACGTGGTACCATGACTGGAGTACGGTACAGGGACGAGATTGTCACACCTGTGATCATTCCCTGGCACAACACGCAGGTCCTAACTTCATCTTTATGGATGATAATGCTCGTCCACATCGAGCAAGAGTTGTCTCTGATCTTCTTCAGACCAACAACATCACGCATATGGACTGGCCTGCAAGGTCTCCGGATCTTAATCCCATTGAACAGGGCATTCTTGGAAGGCCTGTTTATGGTCTTCATGTTCGTCCTCACAATCTGGATCAACTTTAACAGGCCTTAAGGAGAGAATGGCAGAACATTCCACAACAGACACTTGATAGGCTTATCTGGTCAATGCCAAGACGTGTAGAAGCTTGCATTCAAGCCAATGGTGGACATACACGTGACTGAACATTTGATCATTGTTTCAAAAGGACTTAAACTCAAATTTAAAGATTTTAATCTTTCAGTGCAGCACATTTTGCACGACTGTTTTCATGATACTGTTTTTGATCATTTGTAAACCTGTTAGGCATAAACGCTTTTCAGTTCCCTTTGAGGACAATGTGTGTTTGTGCTCTTTCTTTGTATTGCTTTAGTCAGTTTTAGGTATCGGAATATATGGACTGACACATAATAGATTTGTTGCTTAACCTTTTGTGAGGAGTATAAGTAAAAAATAACGTTATAGAAACATTCGTTTTGCAAAGCTTTCAAAATGTTTATGGTTTTATGAAGGGCATTTTGAAATTTGACGCGTCAATGAAAACATTTTACTCTGAAGCAATCCAATATTTTGACCTGTTCCGTATGTTCCCTGTGAACAGGTGAACATTTGACTTGCCTTTGCATGTGTTTGTGATGGTAGATGCTCTCCTTTCCTCGAACACCGGGATCATCAATTGATAGTGACTTCTGAACACATACTGATGTTAACACATACAGAAGTTCTAGCAACTACATCATCATGACACCCTCATACCAATGGCTATTCACATTTTACTAATTATTGGCCTGTCATATTTGAAAAAGATGATCCGGTAAATTACAGCTGGAACCTTGATTTGCTGACTAAACAGCAACTTGCAACTAATCACAACTTTCAAATCACATTGGTACACCAGGCAACAGAAGGGAGATAATGCATGTCATTTACAGCCATCCCAGCCATAGGAATTCGAGTTGGGAATGTTAGCGTTGCAGGAGTGCTCTCATTTTTCCAGTATCCTCTGTACGATATACGGCATCACCATTAAACATGTGTAATCGGGCATAAGCGTTTTTTAATTTCACTTCAAAACCAGCTGAATCATGAAACATTTCTATGCAGTGTCATTTTCAAAAGTCGTTTCTAATTAGCCTAACTTTCGCCTCAACTTGGATTTTTTTATTAGTATCTTAACGCCACACTCAGCAATGTTTCCAGATGTATGACGACCTTAGGAAATAATCTTGCCTGGACAAGACAATCCTGTCATTGACTTCCCTAGCACCGATCCACGCAATTAGGATCCGATGCCAAGCTATCCACTAAATCACCGAGCCTGACCACCCGATCCATTTAGTTGCCTCTTATGACTAGCGTTGGTTGTTGGGGGCCTATATTCTTACCTGGAATTCCACGGAGATAGAACAATAAGGGACCGGGTGAGCACATATAGAGGGTCCCGTGAAGATCCGGGGTAGAATAGGTCTTCAGCAATCCATGCTTGCCGTAAAAGGCGACTATGCTTGTCGTAAGAGGCGACTAACAGGATCTTGTATTACATATTGGTCGAAAATAAGATACAAAAGAAGAATTTTGCCCACACATGACACACTGACAATGTTTCTTCATGTCTAACGCAAAATTGTCATCTTTCGGAGGTTATATTTAATTCTAGGGCTGAAGACCCTTTGGTAGTATTAAAGGAATAGTATATACTTAATGACAAAGACCATAAACTTGGGCAATATGTGGACTACACTAAGCTGTTCTTAGACGGTACCGCGACTGGTCTTAGAACTTCGATGAATACTCTTTCAATATTTCATAGAATGTCAAGACTGAAAATGAACATCAATGAACCAAATGGAGAAAAATATATCTTACTAAACACAGATAACATAACAGTGAAAAAACATCAGCGCTTTAACCACTATGGTTTAACCATTAGTTCAATAACTCACGACTTATCATTCATAACTGGTTCAATAAGGGTGTATATACAGTAAAGGGTCGCTGCAACTCTAAAAGCTTCATGTCTTTCGAAGAGGAAGAAAATGTTAGAGGGACTTTCTTTGTTATTAGGAATATTCCCAGAACCCTGAGAGAGACTGTTAACAGTACGATCTACTTAGATCAGACAACTGGAATTTATATGATGCTGTTGACCTTAATTACACCCGCATAAGTATGCGCAAACTGTACGTGTAGTATGTTAAAATATGGGTATGTATTAATTATGGAACGTGTACAAAAAGTTGCTCGATTTTCAATATTCCCCAGGTAAGAAACACTCAAAATGAATTCAAGGACGAACATACATGTGGGTAATCGAACCCAGGTTTTCGGCGTGACGTGACGAGCGAACGCTTTAACCATAAGGCTACCCCACCATCCCTTATTCAGTATGTGAGGTCATATGGCCCAAAGTACATTTCATACAGTTATAAATGTGTATTTTATGTATATTGTATACATGTTATTTTCTTAGCTAATATTACATTTATTATTTTTTAATAACCTCGAGCTCATCAAAAATATTTTTGAAATAGCAGAGATGGCATTCAAAAGGGAAGAGACTTTTCACAAACTAATCAAAACTGTACAATTTATGCTGACATCAAGGTGGACAAAAACCCGCCACATCCAGGACGTACGTTCAGATCCATCTCAAAACATGTTCAAAGAGTCGTTGCCAGGCGTTGTATTCCTCCAAGTCCTCCAGAACAAACACACCATCTCCATCCAGAAGCTGAGTGAGTAGAGGAGGGAGCGGGTGACGTAAGATGGAGTTCGAATATAGAAGCATAAGTCTCTTAGGCATGTTATTGTTGCATGCATAGATCCCAGATGACAGTGTAAAGGAACACAACTCGTCCTGAAGGAAAGTCTCGGTCACATACAGGACAGTCTTCCAGCTGTTGTGAATACAGTTAATAATTTCCTCAGCTGCGCAAACGCCCACTTCGAAGTTTCTGTCTGGAATACATAGTCGTAGACCTCTCTCAACCTCCATCTTCTGTAGAAAGGTGGTACACACCCACTGATAATCATCATGTTGAGAATAGTAAATAAATATGTCATACTGATAATCTTTTCTGCATGGCACACAATAATCGAACCCTATTAATCTCAACATCCAGTATTTTAACGAAATGGTATTTTTCAGTATCAAATGAAAAATAACAAGACCAGAAATCAGAACACACATCAAACAAACTGAAAAGGCAAGCCAAAATCTAGCGTAGCAATATCTCCAGTGTCTCCCAAAGGAACGAGTAATGTTTGAAAGTTTGATAAGCTGACCCTCCGTGTCGAGGCAACTGTACGAGTCAAAGCGTCGAAACTGGACATCTGTGTCAATAATCCACGTCAGAAAGTCCAAGGCTGCACATCCACAGGACAAGATGTTTCCATGAAGGTCAAGTGAAATCTGCTGCGAATCAAATACCCTTTCATCTAACATTGTTCTTGTATTTGTGCTCAGAACACCGATGGAATTAAATGAAAGATCAATATGAGTGATGTTTAACATTCCAGACAATTCAATAGGGACGTCTTCAAACACATTACGGCTTAAATTCAAATATTTTAAGGTTTTAAGATCCCTGAATATATGTGTATACATTTTGTATAAAGAGTTAAAGGATATATCTAATGAACGGACGTTTTTGAGCGGACTAAACAGTGTCTGGGAACTCATGTTAGACATTAAATCAGTATCAAAGTGAACATTGTTTAGATACAGCATCATGACGTTTGGGAATGATTGAAAAAATGTCAACGGTATTTTTTGAAAGAAATTCCCTGTAAAATCAAGATAGTTTACATGCTCCATACCATAAATACGCCATGAGTCCATTCTCAAGGCAGAATAAGAAAGATCCAAATATGTCAAGTGTTCACCTCCATGAAAACATATGTTAGTCCCCTTAAACTGTTTATTATGTGCGCCTGACCCACTCAATAAAAGTGTCTCCAATAACGGAGGAAGATAGAATGTCACGTTTCCCCATGATTTCCCAAGCATGTCTTTGGAACTTTTATCCTGCCCATCACCTAGATACAAATGATATACCTGCTTTGACACATCCAGTACAACAAGGTTAACAAGTTCAGGGAGAAGAAACAGCCACTGGGGCTCACCAGCTACAGCATTTTGTCTGAGGTCAATATATCTTAGACAGCTTTGAAAAGGTTCCTGTAATAGCGCACTACTTTCAATCACAACTATGTTATTTTCTCTAAGAATCAGTCGCTCAACACATATGGTTACAAGGTAACGGGTCATTTCAGACGTGAGCATGAGTGTTTGATTGTTTAGTACACCTTTGACAGTAACATCATATCTGTGCACATGTGAAAAGTCTATTTCGGTCATATTCCTTCCACTTAGTCCTTTTAGGCTTAATAAAGACTGATATAGTCCAAAGGGTGCGGTGTCTCTGGCAAGCAAGAATCTAAGTTCAGAAAAAGGAGAGAAGACATTGTCTCCCAGAAATATAAGATTTATACACACTGACAATGTTAGGTTGCTTATAGGTGCTTCCCTGAAATTCACAAAGGAGCTATTCCCTAAACGTCTTATAAGGACAGGTGATCCAAAAGTGAGACTCTTCAGCCTCTTCATTTGTGCAAAGCCAGGTCCAAACACGGGTTCTCCAGCCCCATCAATAACCAGTGACTCGAGATAGTGAAGATCAGCAAATGTAGCGTCAGGATATTTCAATGATGAAAACTGCATCTTCATTCTGCTCACACGGAGTGTTGTCAGGGATGTCAGGTTTTGAAATGTCCCAAGAGGAAGAGAGGAATAGGTAAAGTTAAATCTATTCCCATCTAAGTTGAGTCGTTGAAGGGCAGGCAAGTTTTGCAGAGCACCTTCCTCCAGAAACTCTATGTTGTTATCATTCACAAGCAGCGTATGTAATGAGGGAAGGTAGGGCAGTGATCCGTTCCGGAGGCTTGATAAGTTGTTGTTACCTAGGTTAAGTTCGGTTGTGTTTCTGGGAAAACCTCGAGGGACTCTGTTGAAACCACACCTTGAGCAGTCCACTGTTGTTTCATTGGCTGCATGGGAAATGTTGCATTTCTGAAGGTCGGAATGTTGCTGTGGGGAACACTGTAATGTCATCAGATTCGGAATTACAATCCAAACCAAACAGCATAACTTGACTGTCATCATTCCTGTCAATATAATTGTAATATGTATAAATATAATAATATATTATTAGCAACCAGTTGATATCCGATGATAAAAGCTGAGCTTTGCATTCCTACGATTTCAGTTGTTTTGTTTAACCTTTAGCCTGATGAATTGTTTTAGCATAAAGCACTGTAAACAGGGTGGACGGTTTCAAACAGTCGCAGCTTCATTAAACAAGGGACAATTGAAGAAATATTTTCCACATTTATTCCTGATAGAAAACTGCACATTACTGAAGAAAAATATCCCCGGTGTTTTCAATCATGCCAAGCTGAAGACCAAAGCGAACATGAAATTTGTAAATTTTCTTGAACTTACCTGAATAACATTACTGAAGGTGGTATGCATAAGGAACCTTTTTAAATCGTTAAATTTCTGCAAATTAAGTTCAGTAAACATATCTCCAATATGTCAATTTTAACAAAATATAAAGTCAATTTGTATGGCAAAAAAACAACGCGATGGTAATTAATGCCCAATTTCAGTAAATGTCTTCTCCACACGTTAAACAGAATATAAACATAATTTTCGAAGTCATCACGTCAGTTACAGAAAGAAGAACAATCGGGTTAATCCTACTTGTCATGTTATTGAATTTGCAGGAAACAATAAATGACTTATGAATATTTACCAATCCTAAGCTTTTGTTGAATATTTACGATATACCAAAATACAAATCCCGTGTTGTGATTCTAGCTGACGTACGAAAACCAAACATGGCGCGCTTCGCCCGTCCCCAGCATAATTTATTGATCTTTTAACATCAACAAAATTTACATTGCCTGCATATATATGTCTTGGTGAAAGTTGATGATGCTAAAGCTGGAATATTGCCGTGTACGCCAATAAACAACAGACAAACAACTTCAATTTCAGTTTAATATGATGAGAGAGAAAAGAAAATGCAGATCGTGAAATCTGACATCAATATTTCAGAAAATGCAAGGACATCGGATGTGATGTCACAGACAGGGGTAGTTTGCTGATACTTTTTCAGTTTCAGTTTCAGTTTTCAGTGTTTAATTCCGCACTCAGCAATATTCCAGCTATATGACGGTGGTCTGTAAATAATCGAGTCTGGACCAGACAATCCAGTTATTGACATCATGAACATCGATCCACGCAATTGGGATACGATGACATGCATCAATCAAGTCAGCGAGCCTGACAACTCGATCCTGTAAGTCGCCCCTTACGACAATCAAAGTCGACTTTTACGGCATGTATGGGTTACTGAAGACCTATTCTACCCCGGATCTTCACTGGTCCTGATACTCTTTCGTTGCAAAACAATTACAGTATACTTTTAATAGTTCCAATGGTTTTGAATAGTCTCATCCAGAATAAACACAAATCACTACATAGTATCCAGTAAACACCACTAAAATGAAATAACAATGTGACTTTGACGATATAATTATTATTTAATCCGTCTGACCTTGTATGCTCCCGGAAACGGTAGACGATGACGCAACATGCCACGTGCAAGTTTCTTGGTATCTTTTATTTTAATTTTTGTTGATTTATAAGGATCACCATTCAGTGTTGAATATAAAGAGATAAGATTCACGTATCTGCCTGATGATTTTGCTTTCACTGTAATATTGTGTCCCACGCAATACGTCAAGATACCGTCGATCGGCAATGATCAACTTCCACAAAGAGTTGTGCGAAATGGGCGCGTGGTCGTGTTTGTTTGTTGTTTATCGCCGCACTCAGCAATATTCCAACTATGTGACGTCGGCCTCTAAATAATCGAGTCTGGACCAGACAATCCAGTGACTGACATCATGAGCACCGATCCAAGCAATTGAGAAACGATGACATGTAGCAACCAAGTCGCCTCTTACGACAAGCATAGTTGCCTTTTACAGGAAGCATGGGTTGCTGAAGACTTATTCTATCCCGATCTCCACGGGTCTGTATCAATATGTAGGTTAGGTATGGAAGGATCGATGCTCATGGTGTCAATCACTGAATCAGAGGGGCGGTCGGGTAGCCTAGTGGTTCAAGCGTTCGCTTGTCACGCCGAAGACCCGGGTTCGATTCCCGACATGGGTACATTGTGTGAAGCCCATGTCTGGTGTCCCCCGCCGTGATAATGCTGGAATATTGCTAAAAGCGGCTTAAAACCATACTCCCTCACTCACTGAATCAGAAAATTCCTGCTATATGACGTTAACCTTTAAATTAAATCTGAACCAGACAAACTAGAGATTGATATTATGATAGGATGACATCATATACTGATCCCGACAACATGATCCACATAGTCGCCTCTTACAAAGAGCAAAGGAGGCAGAATTACGAGGCGGCATGTAAACCATGACGCTTGGACCAGGCAAACCAGTGGTTCATAGCATGAACATCGCCCGACACCGTCTTTTACGAAGCTACACAGTCAATCAAGTCCCACAGCAGACCACCCAATCCCCTTTTAGTCGGCTCCTAAAACACAACCAGGAATCTGTTATACCTCGGACTCCCACGAAACATGAACAGTTGATTTAAGACAAGGAAATCTCCTCATGTATTGAGGAATTTGTGAACGATAGGAAGCAGTGATCTTCAAGTTGATGCATTTAAATAACATATATGCAGTTAACAAATATTGTTCAAGTTATCTCTACACCACCTGGGGATTCCAAGGAATGGTCACGAGTCCTCATTATCCTGTGATTCTGTCTAAATATGTTCAGGTGACCAGTCGAAGGGACTTGGATGATGACGTGAATTGTTGCTCGTACTTTCAGTCACTGGAAGATTCCAGGGTAGAATAGGTCTTCAGCAACCCATGCTTGTCGTAAAAGCTGACTATGCTTGTCGTAAAAGGTGACTAACAGGATCGGGTGGTCAGGCTCGCTGACTTGGTTGATGCATGTCATCGATCCCAATTGCGTGGATCGATGCTCATGATATCAATCACTGGATTGTCTGGTTCAGACTCAATTACTTACAGACCGCCGTCATATAGCTGGAACATTGCTGAGTGCGGCGTTAAACAACAAACCAACCAACCAAATCATCACTGGTTTGCCAGGTCCAGACTATACCGTCATGGTACAGATGGGGTTATTGTGTGGCGTTAAATCCTAACTCACTCACTCACACTCATTGGAGTAATTGACCTGCTACAACATTCCCTCACACGCTCAGTGACAGGACAATTATTTTTGGAGAGGAAACCTGACACCATCATGAAGCTTAAGTATGTAAATTTGAGGTGTCTCGAGATGTTTCTCTTTTATGGGAATTTGACTGTGCGGGGACCTTGACACTTGCAATACGTGGATTGTAAGGTTGTTTGGTTGTTGTTTTTATTAACGCCGCACTTCATCTATTAGTTCACCTCGTACGACAGGTCGCTAGGGTCCTATTCTGACAATGAATCACCACGGGATAAAGAGAAGAAACGCTGCAATGAGGAAGTGGAATCAGCGTTGCGCGACAAACAGTGTAATTACAGAGAGGATCAACCAGGAAGCTTAATGGCACAGTGTGTTTCAGATATATTTCTTTACTCTTGTTTTTGATACAGCAAACATGAATCCATGTCCGATTAATTTGTTTTTATGTAGTAAAAGAACCAGAATGAACTAAAACTATATTTATTATCTGAAAACATTCGTGAATAAATCATGCTTCAACAAATATCAGAAATTCCCCCGGATTTTAACCTTAATATTTCTATTTTAGTTTAACGTCACACTCAATAATACAACGATATCGCGGCGGTCTGTAAATAATCGAGTCTGGACCAGACAATCCAGAGACTGACATCACGAGCATTTATCTAGGCAGCTCCCCTACTACGGAATTTTCACGAGGGATTTCGGTGGCAGCGGGTATCTAGCCTAGTGCTTTAAGCTTTCGCTTGTCAGACCGAAGATCCGGGATCGATTCCCAATTAAGGTACACTGTGTGAAGATCATTTCCAGCGCCACTGCTGTGATGTTGCTGGAATATTGCTAAAAGTGGCGTAAAACAATACTCACTCACTCACATTTAGCGAAACTAACATTTTTCGAACACTGCTTTGAAATAATACAAAATGAGTTAGGTTAGGGAACTGTTACTTCTCTTGCTGAAATATCACTGAGTTAACAGTAATGTGTTATGAGTAAGTGAGAAATATCACGATGAGGGACACCAGAAATTCTAAAAGCTGCGTAATACCATACTCACTCAACACTTGACAGAGATTAAAACACTAACATTAGACTATATCAAATATGCTGTTGTGTCATTGTACAATGTGTATCACAATATTGTAACCCTTCTACTTGGGATGCTATATATTCAAAACATTTGGCATAAACAGATAAAATTCACCCGGCATGCATTCACGAGAGATTCATCAAGATCCGGGTAGAGAATAGGAATGGTCACGAGTACCCATTATCCTGTGATTCTGTCTTAATATGTTCAGGTGACCAGTCGAGGGGACTTGGACGATGAGGTGAATTGTTGCTCGTACTTTCAGTCACTGGAAGATTCCAGGGTAGAATAGGTCTTCAGCAACCCATGGTTACCGTAACACGCGACTATGCCTGCCGTAAGAGGTGACTAACGGGATCGGGTTGTCAGGCTCACTGACTTGATTGATGCTTGTCATCTTTGAAAAAAGCTCATGATGCCAATAACTGGATTGTCTGGTTAAGACTCAATTATTTACAGACCGCCGTCATATAGCTTGAGTAGTGATGACTGCAGCGTTAAAAAAAACACAACCCAGCATTCACGAGACTATCAGCTACACTGCCACCTACCTGTTAATTCCACATTCATGATTGACTCATCGTTGAGCTTCTCTGTTGTGTTACCTCTGACAGCTGCGCTTAGTTGTGTCTGGGATCCGACAGTGAGAGTTTATATCAGGGTAGATTACACCCGAATAGGCTGACCCGCAAACGTCACGTCTCTCTGCTCTGTTGATTAGGGATGTGACGAACACCGTATGCACTTCCTCACCCCACAAAGATA